GCCATCAGACTTATGTGGCAAATATTTTTTTTACCCACTGAGCCATCTTGCTGGGACTGGCTGGGATTCTGTTTTAATTTTTTCTATTACATTTTATTTATTATTTATTTATTTATTTATTTATTTGAGGGGAGAGGTGTCCAGGGGGTTGGATGCGCATGTACCATGCTTCCCTGCTGGAAATTAGATGGCAACCTGTGGTAGGCAGTTCTCTCACACGTTGTGGGTTCTAGGGACTGAGCCTGGGTCATCAGACTAGCATGGCGCCGATGGGGATTTCCACAGAGATCTACAATGCCATACGCAGGGCACAATACTGCTTCTTCAGGCTTCCTCCCACACTGCAGACAGCTGATGCACAGGGGACCATCGCCGAGATCCCACTGACGGACATTCTGAAGAGCCACTGTGCCCCTCTGCAGAGACACCAGGGTCATAAACAGCAAAGAAAGGTGAGAGATTTCTAGGTCATCTCAATAGTTCCATGCAATAGGTCACCCTGGATTGGACCCCACACCAGCAGGAAACATAATGATGGAGGCCACCATTGGGGCAACAGCTGAGGATGGAGTACAGCTGGGTGAAAACATTGGTCCATGGTCAAAGTACGTGAAGAGGCAAAAAAATATGTTGCCTAGACCCCAACAGTCTGAGAAATAAAGTGGGTGGGGGTGGGGGACCCAATACAAGAAAATGATAAAGATGGAGGGATCTGATTGGGCTCAGAAGTTCTCAACATCACCCCAGCAACTTTGTGTATTTGAAGCTCAACTTCTCCCTCCATATCCGCAGAGCATCCATCCCAAGGAATCAAAATCTGTGGGTACCAAAACTGCAAGATGCTCAGGTAGCATCATGCTTACCCAGAGTCCCTGTACACCTTCCTGTAGATGTTCCAGTAGCTCGGGCTACTTATAACACCACCAAGTACAGCATCTGGGTGTGTAAAGAGGTGTCATGCTGTACTGTTTAGGAAATAAATGACAGACAGGCAAGGAGTCTGTGACCGTTCAGGGTAGATGAGTTGATGGCTTTAAACACCTTTTAGCCTCAGTTGAATGTGCAGACTCAACCCACGGACACTGATACATACGGAGGGCAGTGTTTCAAAATGTAAAGATAAGATAGTTCTAGAGCCAAGGAATTCTGGCTTGCTGAACCTGCTGGGTGGGGACAGGGTTTGTGAAATCTCTGATTGGGGGACCACCTTCCCCGACTTCTCCTCATTTAATGGGTGTTGGGCTGGGGACAACAGAAAGAATTTGTATTTGTTTGTTTACTGTGGAGAGAGGCTGACAGTAGCCCACAGGCTGGTCTCAAACTCTGCCTCAGCCTGGGGGCGGCGACAGGTGTGTGCCACCCCACCCAGCAAACATGTACATCTCTAGCACCCTAGTATGTTTACGTGTGGCTGTTGCTGGTGGGAGGTCTCAACCACACTTTGAAACCAGAACCCCTGGCATCACTGAGGTTAAACTGACCACCAAGAGAAGGATACGGACTGAGGCAGAGACAGGACGGAGCAAGTGGCGACTGCCGGAACCAGGGCTTCACGTGAGGGACACCTGTATATCATTTTATCTCCAAGTGGATAGCTTTTCATGCCTACTAAGCAGACATTCCAGGGCCTTGTGGAATGTAGCAGATAGCGTGCACAACAGAAACCTTCCTGAGCCTGGAATCCTAACTGAGGGTTAGACTTCAAGCAACTCCTGGGTCTGATGGGTTGGCGCCGCCGGGGCAGGACCCAGGCACCAACGCCAGCACCTGGTGAGCACGGTCCTTTGGGTCAGCCCTATGGGATATACACTTCCCACTGGAGTTGCCTCCCCCAAGCCAGTTCCCCCCCACCATCCTCTGGTCGGTCCTGATCGTGAGATGGGCGCACAAGCTGCCAACCTCTGTGGAGACATGCACCTCTCCTCCCCCTCCTCCAGGGGTAATGAGCCTTGGCTTCAAGCCTCATTAAACCCCATTATATAATCAGCCCCATCCTGGGTATCTTTATAACCCCAGCAGTTGCCTTGGTGGGAACATGGCCGTTCAGCTCCATCACCCATTACTGCCGCCTGCTGCCACGGCCCCCACCACACCAGGATCTGACTCAGCCTCCAGGTACGCACAAGGTCAGGTTCTTGGCTGGTGGTCAACTCTTCCCCTTGTTTCCAGGACAAGGGACAGGAATTGCTTATAGAAGTGATGGCCACAGGGGTTGGAAGGACAGCCCCAGACAGGGTATAGCCTCTTCCAAGGTATCAGCTGAAGGAGAGTATTCCCTTAGCCTTGGGATATGACTTCCAGCCCCTACCATGATGACTGTGATAGGGAGGTCACAGAGTGAAAGCCACTTGTTTCCTCGAATGGCTGCTGCCCTGAGGGCTGGAGGGCCACACAGGCAGCTAACACAGAATACTAGGTCATTCCTCAGCTTCAACCGGAAGACATTCAGGAGGAATGAGTCGCAGAAGCTGCCAGGAGCTAGCTTTTCAGCCACTCTCTGCAGCTGCCTGCCCCCGCTCAGGGATGGCCACCCCCTGGATGCAATGAAGCAGTGAACGTGAACAGCGGAGCCCAGGGGTGGAGAGGGGCATCACACGTGCCAATGCAGCATGCTAACAGGGAGGAGCCTTCCACAAGACCACCACACAGCTCTCCAAACCAGAAAGAAAGCGGAAGGCGACCAAGAAGCACGAGGATCAATGAAGGTGGCCCTTGCAGAATGGATGATTCGCTCCTTCGTGAATGATTCGCTCCTTCGCTGCTTTCCTGACCTTGTGATCTATGACCGGGTCCTTAACCTCAACCTCTGTTTCTTCATCTCTAAAGAGGGGATGATAAAAGTTTCAACCTTATAGAGGGTGGTGACAAAGACATCAGAGGAGGGAGAAGACTTTGGACAAGGCCTGTGACCCTGTCACCTCACAGCAAGCACCGATGGCTATTGGTACCGACAGCTGTTGGTATTCTCATCTCCATCACTGTTTCAGATCGCTCCACCACGTAACGCACGCCAATAGTTCTCCAAACTCCCCTTTACTGAGTCACGGAGCTCTAAGCACCGCCCCCATCCTCTCCTCCCTACATCCCTGTGGGGTGGAACACACTCGTTCTGATAGATTCTTTAATTAAATATAGCCTCATCTACGGCAGCTGGGATCGGAGACCATTCGCCAAAGAGCCACAAGTTCATGGCTTGCCAGGCTAAAGATGGGGGTGTGGAGGGCACCCAGGAGACAATGCCTGAGTACCACAGGAAGGACATGGGCTGTCCCTGACATGTGATGGTTCACAGGTCTAGTCAAAGGATGGCAGGAAAGCTTGTTCACACAGGCAGGGCATGCTACGCAGCAGGCCATTTAAGTGAACTCACACTTTCATAAAACAAGCTTTGGGCTCAGTGATTTTGCCCAGCTTCCGGCGAATGGATGTGTTCTAGTACATTCACACATACTGGGCATACCATCTTTGGGGATGCCTGGGTGAGATTCTCTAGGATGGGCCTGGGTGCAGCTCCAGCCACTAGGCTATGGTACTACTCAGTCAGTACATTTGCTGTATCTGGTGCTCTTCAATTCATGGTATGCTCACCCATGGTGGACTTATCGGGTCCACGCCCACAGTAAGCTGAGACCTGGAAGAAGGACATCTTACATCCTGGCTGACCCGTGAACACAATCGGTTGGCGAACCTTGGAGTGACTTGATTACTCCGCCAGCTGGGACTCTCACTCCCTCCTCTGTCCTGCCAGGTACCCTGACATCCATTTAGAGAAGGCAACGTCACTCTGCATGGATCTTGGAGGCATCTGGCACACAGACTCGGGCCCTAGCTACTAAGGAGGCTGAGGCAGGAAGAAGTAAGTTCAAAGGTATCAGAGGCTGCAGAGTAGGTTGAAGACAGTGCCCAGCAATTTAGAGAGACACTGTCCTGGTAGTAGAACTTGCTTGGCTAACCTGGGTGAGGGCCTGGGCTCCATCCTTGGGGCGGGGGATGGGGGGGAAGAGGATAAGGAAGGGAGAGAGGAAAGGAAGAACCAGATTCAAATCCTGACCCAACTACTAGGTAGCTGTGTGACTTTGAGGGAGATCTCTGGTGTCCCCGAACCTCAGTTTCCCCATTTGTACTATGGAAATAATCTATGCCTGCCATGGACAGTTGCAAGACCAGAACGAGGTACCGAAGGCAGCAATTAGCCTGGTGGCCACCAGATCAACGGAACAGCACAAGTAGCCTGTAGCAGCCCTAGGGCACAGGACCAGAGCTTCTGGAAGCTAGCTTCCCCCGTCCCCTAACATCCCACCAGTCAACACGCTCTCTTGCTGGGGGAGCAGTTAGCCTCGCTTCAGTGGGGTCCCCTCTGCCCACATCTGCACCTTCTAGCAGATAGCGCCTCTGGGTAAGATCAGAACTTTCTGGAAACCCATCCCTCTGCCACCAGGGACTTCCATCTGTCCTCAAGTCATAAGTACCATGACTCTGGCAGCAATTTGTGAATGTGGACTATATATCCTCAGCCACACTTAACCTGGCTTGAACCCCAATACGTCATCGAGATGCAAAAGTTATACACGTTGACCCCAGTCAATAAAATGTGCATGATGTCATTCACAGACCCTGCATGGACGGAGAAACCCTAAAACAAGCAGTTGAAAGGCGGTGGGGAGCAGAGAGATAAAAGATGGGTGCTCCCTCTCATGCCCCCCGACTTTACTTTCAGCCTTCCTTCCCACCTGCGAGCCAAAGAGCCGATACTGAGGGTGCATGACAGACAGTCACCTCCAAGGGCCAATCATGCCCCCCTTCAAAACCATCTAAGGACCCGGGAGCTAGCCGCACATGTGGGAGGGGGTGGCAGGGGATGACCTGTGAGATTCAGAAGCCAGGGAGGAGAGCACATGGAACCTGAACCTGGCAGGTAAGGTGGCGGGCTGCGCAGTGAGGATCTGGTGAGCCCAGCCAGTGCAGCCCGGGGGGGGGGGGGGGGAGTAGCAGGGACTTACTTGCAGAGAAACTGGCCTCCGTGTGGACGGGTGGGGTGGAGGGCAGAAAGGGGGCGTGGCCCACGAAGAAGGACCTCAGGGAGCGCTCGGACAGGAGCGGGGAACGCTGCTGGGCAGGGATGTTCTCGCAGCTGCCCACACCGCTGTGGATCTTGAGGTTCAGGGGTTTGCTCTTCTTCTTGGCTCTGAAAGGGAAGCAGAACACGGAGACAGGGAGATGAGTTTGTCTGTACCGTCTACATCATCAATATAAACGCTGCCCACCTGGCAACAGCTGGGCACCCGGGAAACACGAACACAACCTATACTCGCAGAGACCACGCCTGCTGGAATGCAGCTGGGCGTCTCTTAATCTTCTAGAACGTTCCTGCCAGTGAGGAATCTACCCAACACATGATCACCTGACATTGACTTGAGACTAACACAAACTGTTTAGTTTCTTTCAAATAATATTTTATAGACACCATCGGGCAGGCTGGTTTTTTGTCAACTTGACAGCAGCTACACTCACTTGGAAAGAGAGAGCCTCAACTGAGGAAATACCCCCGCAAGATTAGCCTGTGGGCAAGGCTGTGGTGCATTGGCTTGACTGACAGTCGATGGGGGCGGGCCCAGCCTCCATGAGGGTGGCTCCAGCCCTGGGCAGATAGTTGTGGATTCTATAAGAAAGCAGGCTGAGCAAGTCACAGGGAGCAAGCCAGTAAGCAGCACCCCTCCATGACCTCTGCATCCACTCCTGCCTCCAGGATCCTGCCCTGACTTTCCCTCTGAGATACAGAAGTGTAAGCTGAAAGAAACCCTTTCCTTCCCAAGTTGCTTTTGGTCCTGGGGTTTCATTATAGCAATAGTAACCCTACAACAACTATAAAATGTATACTCTTTTAATTAAAAAATAAATAAATAGCTTTGTTTGGCTAGTGTGGTGATGCGCTCCTGTAATCTAAGCACTCAGGAGGCTGAGGCAGGAGGATGCTGGCTTTGAGGCCAGCTTGAACTACAGAGCAAAGCTCTGACCTGAATAAGCAAGCGAAAGGAAAAAAAAAAAAAAAAAAAACCAGGTCTCAGGATGATTTTTTTATTCTTTTTATTTTTTTTTTCTGGACCTACTCCTTGTAAGCAGATCCCTGGGAGGTAAAGCTAGTCAATTTCCAGTGAGAGTCTTCACACTGGGACGGAGATGAGGAGGAAGCGCTAAAGAGCGGGGCTCCAGCCAGGTGCTGATTGAGCTCGGATGGGAGTTGGGCCAGGGTGTCTCTCGAGGCATAAACACAAAACCGAGTGTCTAAAACCTTGCGCTTGACCAAACAGGAGGCTTGAGAGTATTAACAGCGTCGGTGGAGGAGGTGGCAGCCGTCACTGCTACTCTGAATTAAGCGCAGGCTGCATCCCAGGGACAGAATCAAGGACGTCAGGGCATCGTCTCGTTAAAGCATTAAAGTCATCCTAGGAAGGACATCCTCTTTCCCCTGAGGACGACACTGGAGCGAAGGAGACGGAAGAACCTAGCAGATCAGCCCAGAGGCCTCATCTCAACTGTGTCCGCGTCTCGCCAGATCTCTGGGTGTCACCACCCCGAGGCCAGCCACCCCCAGGGACTGCCCTTTGTGTTGTCTTGCTGCTTTTCCTGTTCGACGAACTCCTACACAAACTCCATGGTCCAGTTCGAAAGTGATCATAACTGCAACATCTTCTCGCTCTCTGGGACAACCTCACTCTCTCCATCCTGGTATCCCCCGTTATTCTCTAAGGAACCTCCAGCTCCCGACCATGGCTCCTGATAGCCATCCTCCATATCTACTCTAGTCCAGTCGCCTCCTCATCTTTGACCCTCCTGTCTCTGCGGCCCAGAGTTCCCTCCTCTGCGCCGCCGCTTTGATCTCTGTCTCGATAGATAACTCAGTTCTGGCGTGTCTCCTTCTGCAACCTTTCGGGTAACCCCAGTTCCTCCCAGCAGGAACAGGTGTTCTTCCTCCAGGAAGCCCTCTCAGATAGCCCTCTTCCCCCAGCTGGCCTGAGCTTGCAGTTTCTTGTTTGTTGGTTTGTTTCATATCTGTATGGTCATGTTTTCCCATTCCCCACCCCCACCCCCGGCATTTGTAATCTTCCTGGCAGAACACGAATCTTGAAGGCAGTGACTTTAGATTTCTCTTTGTTCCATCCTTGGCTTGGCACCAGGCACACAGTAGGTGGGTGTTGTGTAAGTGAGCTGCCTGGCACACAGTAGGTGCTGCTTAAGTGGGTGTTCTGAATGGAGGCTATGGCCCAGGGGGCAGGGAGGAGGGATATCACACTATATTCTAATTCTCTGCCTTCCGATCCTAACTGCTGGCTCCCCGGGGACAAGAACCAGGCAGATGGTGCGGCTGCATCTCTCAGCCTCCGGCTTGGCACTGGTGGCTCAAAACACACCTCACAGGCTGGTTAAGAACTGCCCCCCTTCTCCAAGGAGCTGGTCTAAGAGAGCTAGGTATAAGACTACATCTCTCAACGCCTTCCCACCCACCTCCCTCCCCAAACTCCCATCTGCCCAGGATGGAGCCCAGCGCCCTCTGGTGGCTGCTGCAGAACCTGCTTGCAAACTGCCAGTCCTGGAGGTCTCTAGGCCTCCTTTGGGTACCACCTTCAAAAAGGGGGGGGAGCATGCTCTGCAGGAGGTTACACATGTCTGCCTGTTCAGCCACCCTTCTCAGTACCCCTGTGGCAGCAGCCAGTCCTACTTATTGTCCCTCAGGGGCCCGATGCAAGGCTCAGATAGGTACTCCCCCTTACAGCAGCTCACATCTGGTAACTTGTCTCTGCCCAGGGCTGAAAAAAATGAGGAAGCGAGAGCCAGTGAGTCTCTTTTGCTCCAAACGGGCCAGCAGTAGGGATTTAAAGAGGTGTATAAACCAAGGCCAGTACTCAGCTGTTAGGAACAGAGAGACTCTTTGTGTTTCAATTTTCCACCTGGACAATGGAAAGAACACTGGTTCCCTTCCCAGAAGGCCATGCAAGACCATGAGGATCTATGAGGTAGCATGCTTGGCTCAGACAAGCCTGTGTGCTGTTTCCTGTCATGAGCATGGCTATACTCTGGTTACATCTGACGGCCATACAGCCATGCAGAAAGTCAAGAAAGAAACTGAGAAGTGAAGCCAAGCTAGGCTTTACCTGAAATACCCAGAACACCCACCGCCAGCCTTGGCAAGGGAAGGGGACATGGGCAAACCCCTAAGCATAAAGCTATGATCATCCCCCACAGACACCTAGCGGATCCTGAGGCGCTGACAATGAGGTCGTGTAAATCAGAGCAAGACTGGAGGGACCCACATCCAAACCAGCAGCTCAGAGATGTCAGAAGAGATGTGGTTACCAATCCAAAGTCACGAGAGCAGAGAGGGCTGTGCAAATAACTGTCAGACAGATGGAAGAAAGGGGCGGGGCAGGGGGAGGAAAAGGAAGGAAGGGAGATGTAACGAAGGAAGAAGGAAAAGGATGGAAGGAGAAAGATGGGGAATAAAAGATGATGGAAGATGAGAAAAGAAGAAAGATGGGAGAAAAAGAGATGAGATGAAAGAATAACAGAAAAAGGGAAAGGGAATGAGGGGAATGGGTGGGCAGATGAGTAAGTGGATGGATGGATGGATGGATGGATGGATGGATGGATGGATGGATGGATGGATGAATGGATGGATGGATGGATGGGTGGATGGATGGATGGATGGGTGGGTGGGTGGATGGATGGGTGGGTGTGTGGGTGGGTGGATGGATAGATGGATGGATGGATGGATGGATGGATGGATGGGTGGGTGGATGGATGATGGATGGGTAGATGAATGGGTGGATGGATGGATGAATGGATGGAGGGATGGAGGGATGGATGGGTAAATGGATGGATGAGGGATGGATGGGTAGATGGATGGATGGATGGATGGATGGATGAAGAGAAGGATGGATGGATGAATAGATGGATGGATGGGTAGATGGATGGATGGATAAATGATGAGTTTGCATTTCTACATGAAAGTTATTGCTTAGAAAATATGGTTTTTAGACAATAATTTTAAAAGATAAAAATGAGTTATGAGTGAGAAAGGGGCTTGAAAAAGACACCCCCCCCCCTCCAGCAAGTCATATGAAGACCCAACAAGCATGCACGGAGAAACAGGAGACACAAATCAAACCAACAACAAGCTACACCCCATCTTCCTGGATGGCCATGCTCAAACACAAGGTGCTCAAATACCATGTGCTGATGAGGACATGGAGAAGAGGAAGCCACCGGCTGGTGCATGGCCGCTACGGAAAGCACTTCGGTCACGCTTCGACTGCGTAAAACCAGAGTTTTAGACAACCCAACAGTCCTATTACCTAGATATGTACCCAAAAGAATGGGAAATAAATCTTCAACGGAAAGTGTCCACAGATATTGACACTTGACACATGAACACTGACAACCACCAAAGGGCAGGGGAAAAAAACCAAATGCGCATCACTGGGCGAAAGAAGACAGATGTGATCTGCCCAGATAATCAAATTCAATGCAATCTTACGTTGTTCCGACTCATAGCCTAAACACGAGTGAACCTCACAGCTGTCATGCCTCGGGAAGAAAGCTAGTCGCAAAAGACCACGCATTCCAGTTTATATAAAACAACCAGGATGGGGTAAGTCCACAGAGATGGACAGCAGGCTGGCGGATGCCAGGACTGGAAGACGGGAGGGGCGTGGGGCCCACCCAAGTACACGTGGAAGCGCTGTTTTGCTGTTTGTTTTAGGGTCACGAAGGGCCCTGGAAGTAGGCAGAGGTGGTAACCGCTGAGCCTCGAGTGTACTAAATGATACTGAAGGCTTAAAATGACCAATGGTGGCATCACAGTCATTTATCAAATTAGAGAAACCATTCTAAGCTGCCTGTACTGTGTACGTATCCCTTGAGGAGCTGTGTGACCTTTATCACACAGCTTAACCTCTCGGAGTCCCAAGGTCTTTGCCGTTACAAGTAACTTCTACCAGGGTTGTTTTAAGGAGCCAGTGAGCTGGATGGGAATACTCCAGTTGGCTGTTGGTGAATCCGGAGGGGGCTACTGGGGTCCTTCCTTTTTTCCTTTGTCAAGAAGTGCTTTTGCCTCTAGATAGGGGGCCAAGTCCCTCCTGTGGGGAGGCAGGTCAGCACTCGAGTGAAGATAGACACGTGTCCGTGAAG